AAAACCCCGTGTCTACTAAAAAATACAAAAATTAGCCAGATGTGGTAGCGTGTGCTTGTAGTCCCAGCTACCTGGGAGGCTGAGGCAGGGAAATTGCTTGAACCCAGGAGGTGGAGGTTGCAGTAAGCCAAGATAGCGCCATTGCACTCCAGCCTAGCAACAGAGACAGACACCATCTCAAAAACAAACAAAAAAAAACTTGAACTCAAAGACACAAAAGAGGAGTGGAATGCCATGCTTGTGTGACGATTGCAGAATTCTGGGTGTAAAGCTGCACCATTTAGCTCTATAGTCAATGAACATATACTGCGTACCTACTGACTCTAAGGCCCTGTGCTGACACTACAGAAAATGCAAGAATGCCCAGAGTCAGCCAGGTGTGGTGGCTCACGCCTGTAATTTCAGCGCTTTGGGAGGCCCAGGTGGGTGGATCACTTGGGGTCAGGAGTTCAAAACCAGCCTGGCCAACATAATGAAATCCTGTCTCTACTAAAAATACAAAATTAGCCAGGCGTGGTGGCAGGTGCCTGTAATCCCAGCTACTTAGGAGGCTGAGGCTGGGGAATCACTTGAACCCAAAAGCCAGAGGTTGCACTGAGCCAAGATCAGGCCACTGCACTCCAGCCTAGGCAACAGAGTGAGACTCCATCTCAAAATAAATAAAAACAATAATGCCCAGAGTCATGTTCTGCATTAATTTTGTTTTTTGTCACAGAATAACAGAAAAACTGTTACATACACCAAAGTAATTATACTGTGAGGCAGAAGGTAATCAGTTCTGTAAAGGGGAACAGGGGAAGTGTGTGTTTTTGGCATTCACAATTTTTGGCCCCCTGATAGCACAAGGAAAATTAGGTTCTCATCACAAGACAGGGTAGGTGGCATGTAGTAGAAAATGCTCTAAATTTAGTGTCAAAAAATCTAGGCTAAAATCTAGTTTTTCCACTTTTTTAGTTGCCTATCTTTGAGCATGTTATATTACTTCCCTGAGCTTCCATTTCCTCATAGCAGAAGGACAACAGCAGTGTCTCAGAGGTTAACTATGAACAGCATAACTTTTGTTAAACCTTCAGACAAATGTCACAGTTTCCATTGTTAGGGTCAAGCGTAGGTATACTTTGCTGGATGCTTACCTTGTGCAAAGTCTTTTAATATATCATCTTTAACCTACACAATAATCCTATAAAATAGGCATCATTATTCCTCTTTTATAGATAAGGAAGTTGAAGCCAAAAGTGATAGTGATTTGTCCAAAGTACAGCTAGTATTCCACAGACTCTAGTGAGTCTGTTGAACCCAAGCCCACCCAGCTCGGAAACATGCATAATTTTTGTATCACCATGCTGCCACTTCAGCATAGTCTCTATTTTGTGTAATAGAGCAAAAAAATGACAAATAAGCAAGTTAATATAGCCCCCATCGACACATGGGATTGATTAAAATAACCAACAAGAAAAATAGTATTGATTCATCATATTTCAAGAATGGAAAAACAGACCAAATACAAGTTACCCCCAACAGGATTCTTAAGAAAGTGAGACAAAAGGACTTACCTAGAATTTGGGATGAAATAACGTGCGTGAAGAAGTTTACAGAGGTTGTAGCCTTTCCTAGAACTGGCGAGTTTCAACCCTTGAGCAGACAGACAACCCGAAAACGTCATGAGCTCTTTTGAGTTTGGGTTTGAGCTCAGAACCCAGCAGCACCTCTCTTACCATAGGAAGAAAGAAAAGACCAGGCTGCAATTGTAATACAGGGTGTGAAGAAAGAGAAAGAAGTAGCTACCTGTCCTCAAAACAATGAAGATATTTTATTTTTGGCAAGCCATAGTGCAACATGTGTCTTTTTTTTTGAGACAGAGTCTTACTCTTGTCACCAGGCTGGAATGCAGTATCGCGATCTCTGCTCACTGCAACCTCCGCCTCCCTGGTTCAAGCAATTCTCCTGCCTCAGCCTCATTAGTAGCTGGGATTACAAGCACACACCACCATGACCAGCTAATTTTATTTATTTTTATTTTTTATTTTATTTTTAGTAGAGACGGGGTTTCACTGTGTTGGCAGGGATGGTCCCAATCTCCGGACCTCGTGATCCAGGCACCTCGGCCTTCCAAAGTTCTGGGATTACAGGCATGAGCTGCCACGCCCGGTAGTGTGTCTATTTTTATATTAGGTTGGTACAAAAGTAATCACAGTTTACTTTAATTGCCATTAAAGTAGCAAAAACCACAGTTACTTTTGCACCAACGTAATACTTTACAAATTGAAAATGTTGCTGGGCGCGGTGGCTCAAGCCTGTAATCCCAGCACTTTGGGAGGCTGAGGCGGGTGGATCACGAGGTCAAGAAATCGAGACCAACCTGGTCAACATGGTGAAACCCCGTCTCTACTAAAAATACAAAAAAAAATTAGCTGGGCATGGTGGTGCGTGCCTATAATCCCAGCTACTCAGGAGGCTGAGGCAGGAGAATTGCCTGAACCCAGGAGGCGGAGGTTGCGGTGAGCCGAGATCGCACCATTGCACTCCAGCCTGGATAACAAGAGCGAAACTCCGTCTCAAAAAAAAAAAAAAAAGAAAGAAAATGTTGCTCTTCTGAAAGAGAATGTGGAGATATAGAGTCAAAAAAAAAATATCTAAGGCCAATAAGGATTTAAAGAGAACCGCCCACCAATAAAGTAACCTACTGCAGGGTGAGTGCCTACAGCTCTCTCATGTAATCCTTAGGATAACCATGTACGGCATATGCTCTATGACTATTTTGCAAATGAGACCATTTAAGCGCAATGTTCCTTTTATTTTTCTCAAGGTGTCTGTGGAGTGACCATTGTGTTGCTTTGTAAGAAGTGGCCACCTTTAACATGGGAAGATGTCCTCTCTGGCCCTGCCTAAGTCAGCCTGTTCCCTCGGCACAGACACTTCCCACTCAGTCCACTCTACATCTCTCTGCACGCTGTCCATCTGGCACAAAGAAAGAACACCAGCTGGTACATAAACTAGCACTGGAGGTATTTCCAGGAGCCTGTGACCTTTGAATGGATCAACCTTCCACAGCCAATTCCTGATTATCTGCAAAAGGCTCGCATATATCCTTGACAAAGTTCTGCCACATAGGTGTATTTCAGCAACACAAGAGAATAATTCCACAATTTAAGGGAATTTTCATCTTGGCCTACACAAAGTAGTAGGAAGATAAATCTGTAGGAAAAAAGAAATTATAGAGCCTCCAATGTCAAAGAGAAATCTATTCATTGTGGATTATCTCTGGCTCTCCTCCATTAAGGCAGATTATTGGGGTTACCTGAATCTTTAACCTTACAACACTGCTGAAAGCTAGGCATTAGTCTATTTTTATAGCTGATGAAAATGAGTGTCAGAGGTTAAGCAGTTTGCCTCAGGCCTTACAGCTAGTAGGTGTTGGAAGAGAGGCTCTTCAACCTCACTTCCCTTAGGTAAGGCACTCCCCTCCCAATAAAACAAACAGCAGAGTGAAATGAAGGTAAGACACTCCTTCTCTTTAAAAGCAAGATTAATAACCATTAAAAATTTGGGGCTCAATTCTCCAGCCTTACACTTTGTCAGCTGCCTATAGTGAATGTTACATCTTGTCCTGGCATTTTCTTTATGCCCAGGAACTTTCAGGCCCCTATCAATGTATGTGCTTAGTGGCTAAAGAATAATATTCTGTGATCCCAGCACTTTGGGAGGCCAAGGCAGATGGATCATGAGGTCAAGTGATGGAGACCATCCTGATCAACATGGTAAAACCTCGTCTCTACTAAAACTACAAAAATTAGCTGGGTGTGGTGGCACACATCGGTAGTCCCAGCTACTCAGGAGGATGAGGCAGGAGAATCGCTTGAATGCGGTGGGGCGGAAGTTGCAATGAGCTGAGATCGTGCCACTGCATTCCAGCTTGGAGACAGAGTGAGACTCCGTCTCAAAAGAAAAAAAAAAGAATAATATTAGTATTAGCCCAAACAACATTATAAAGACAAAATCAAAGGGAGAAAACAATATCAAGATATGTGATTCAAGAGCTGGGCACAGTGGTACACATCTGTAGTCCCAGCTACTTGGGAGTCTGTGGCAGGAGAATGACTGCAGCCCAGGAATTCAAGTCTAGTCTGAGCAACATAGTGAGACTTGTCTCTAAAGATAATAACAATAAAAAGACATTCCAAGTCAAACTAAAAAGATTTCTCACCTTCAGATAAGCTTGGATCTATCACTTTGTTAATACCAACAATAAAAGCTGCCATTAAACACTGATTACATTAGCTCTAATTTAGAAAGTAGAAATTAATATTATAACATCAATAATATCAAGTTAAGAAAATTAAAACTAAGCAAGTTGCTCAAAGCCACTGGCCTAGTAAGTACTAGAACCTAGATTCAAACCTAGGTGTTTCTCACTTATAAGCCCGCAGCCTTTCTAACTGCAGTAACGTCTGTAACTAAGAACTGTTTGTGTGTGTAGCTCATCACATAATTACTTCTCAGTCCCTCATAATTCTTAGATGATGGAAAGTTGTAAGACTGCAAAATCTCAATGGAGCCAGTGCCCAGACACTGTCACTGCTGGATTTTGTGCCTAAAATTTTCATACTTTCAGTCAGCCAACGAGAAAACCCCATTAAATGCAGGAGTAAGCTGGAATGGATAGCACAATAACCAACTAACTTGGGGACAAAGTCCTGAGAGACACTCAGAAGAGGTCTCGGTTTACTGGTGGAAAAAGGAGGACATTGAGCACCCTGGAGAAGTAAAAAAATGGCCTCGGCATTAACAACAAACCCAGTCGTAGCACCAAGGCTTGGCCTAGCTAGAAGCACTCCCCATCTGATGCATGGAAAATGACTCGCATAAGATCTTTTAGCAAGACAATGGTTAATGTAGTATTAGAGCTCAGAAGCCCAGCTGCTAATATAAAAATCTGTTCAGGGCCGAGACCGCGTTCGCCCCGCGAGCACAGAGCCTCGCCCTTGCCCTTCTGCCGCCAGCTCACCATGGATGATGATATCGCTGCACTTGTTGTCGACAACGGCTCCGGCATGTGCAAGGCCGGCTTCATGGGCGACGATGCTCCCCAGGCCGTCTTCCCCTCCATGGTAGGGCGCCCCAGGCACGAGGGCGTGATGGTGGGCATGGGTCAGAGGACTCCTACGTGGGTGACGAGGCCCAGAGCAAGAGAGGCATCCTGACCCTGAAGTACCCCATCGAGCACAGCACTGTCACCAACTGGGACGACATGGAGAAGATCTGGCACCACACTTTCTACAACGAGCTGCATGTGGCTCCTGAGGAGCACCCCGTGCTGCTTACTGAGACCCCCCTGAACCCTAAGGCCAACCGCAAGAAGATGACCCAGATCATGTTTTGACACCTTCAACACCCCAGCCACGTGTGTGGCCATCCAGACCGTGCTTTTCTTGAACGCCTCTGGCCGTACCACTGGCATCGTGATGGACTCCGGTGACGGGGTCACCCACACTGTGCCCATCTATGAGGGGTATATGCCCTCCCCGAGGACCTGGCTGGCCGCGGCCTGACTACCTCATAAAGATCCTCACCGAGCACGGCTACAGCTTCACCACCACAGCTGAGCAGGAAATCGTGCGTGACATCAAGGAGAAGCTGTGCTACGTCGTCCTGGACTTGGAGCAGGAGATGGCCACGGCGGCCTCCAGCTCCTCCCTGGAGAAGAGCTATGAGCTGCCCGATGGTCAGGTCATCACCATCTACAACAAGCGGTTCCACTGCCCTCAGGCGCTCTTCCAGCCTTCTTTCCTGGGCATGGGATCTTGTGGGATCCACGAACCTACCTTTAACTGCATCATGAAATGTGACGTGGACAACCGCAAAGACCTGTATGCCCACACAGTGCTGACTGGAGGTACCACCACGTACCCTGGCATCGCTGACAGGATGCTGAAGGAGATCACCGCCCTGGCACCCAGCACGGTGAAGATCAAGATCATTGCTCCTCCCAGGCGCAAGTACTCCGTGTGGATCGGTGGCTCCATCCTGGCGTCGCTGTCCACCTTCCAGCAGATGTAGATCAGCAAGCAGGAGTAGACGAGTCCGGCCCCTCCATCGTCCACCGCAAATGCTTCTAGGCAGACTGTGACTTAGTTACGTTACACCCTTTCTTGACAAAACCTAACTTTGCACAGAAAATAAGATGAAATTGGCACAGCTTTATTTGTTTTTTTTTGTTTTGTTCTGGTTTTGTTTTTTTTTTTTCTTGGCTTGACACAGGATTTAAAAACTGGAACGGTGAAGGTGACAGCAGTCGGTTGGAGCGAACATCCCCCAAAGTTCTACAATGTGGCCGAGGACTTGATTGTGTATGTTGTTTTTTTTTTAAGTCATTCCAAATATCGTGAGATGCATTGTTACAGGAAGTCCCTTGCCCTCCCAAAAGCCACCCCACTTCTCTCTAAGGAGAATGGCCCAGTCCTCTCCCGAGTCCACACAGGGGAGGTAACAACATTGCTTTTGTGGTAAATTATGTAATGAAAAATTTTTTTAATTTTGCCTTAATGCTTTTTTTATTTTGTTTTATTTTGACAGATTTTAGCCTCTGTGGCTACCCCTTTTTTTTTTCTTTTTTTTTTTGAGACGGAGTTTCGCTCTTGTTACCCAGGCTGGAGTGCAATGGCGTGATCTCGGCTCACCGCAACCTCCGCCTCCTGGGTTCAGGCAATTCTCCTGCCTCAGCCTCCAGAGTAGCTGGGATTACAGGCACGCGCCACCATGCTCAGCTAATTTTTTGCACCATTAGTAGAGACGGGGTTTCACCATGTTGACCAGGATGGTCTCGATCTCTTGACCTCGTGATCCACCCGCCTCGGCCTCCCAAAGTGCTGGGATTACAGGCTTGAGCCACCGCGCCCGGCCTAATACCCCTTTTTTTGTCCCTCAACTTGAGATGTATGAAGGCTTTTGGTCTCCCTGGGAGTGGGTGGAGGCAGCCAGGGCTTACCTGTACACTGACTTGAGACCAGTTGAATAAAGTGCACACCTTAAAAAAAAAAAAAAAAAAAATCTGTTCAGAAGACAGGGCTAGTATTTATTTATTTATTTATTTAGAGACGGAGTTTCACTCTTGTTACCCAGGCTGGAGTGCAATGGCGCGATCTCGGCTCACCGCAACCTCCGCCTCCTGGGTTCAGGCAATTCTCCTGCCTCAGCCTCCTGAGTAGCTGGGATTACAGGCACGCACCACCATGCCCAGCTAATTTTTTGTATTTTTAGTAGAGACGGGGTTTCACCTTGTTGACCAGGATGATCTCGATCTCTTGACCTCGTGATCCACCCGCCTCGGCCTCCCAAAGTGCTGGGATTACAGGCTTGAGCCACTGCGCCCGGCCAAGGCTAATATTTAAATTGTGTCTTCAGGAAACAAACTGAGTCAGAATCCTGATTCCTCAGCCAGACATGTTTGCTACGGGTCCCAAAAAGGCATATACATAGCGTCATCTCATGCCCACATACTTTATTACCAGCTGAGGTTCTGACGCTAAATCTCTCTTCCTCTGTTGAGCTGGGTAAATACAACCGAGCTAGCCTAGTTAAGACTTAGCCTAGAAGTAGGTGAACTTTTGTAGGCCAGTGGCTCTGCATTAGTCACCTTGAGGGTTTGTTAAAAGTCGGACTGCTGGGCTCCACCCACTGAGATTTTGATTCAGTTTATCTAGGGTGGGACCTAAGAATTGTTTATATTTCTCCTCCTCAAGCGCCAGGACAACTGGCCCGAGCCACTGCAGTTCCCGTACATTTCTCGTAAGTTCCCTGATGATACTGATACCACTGATCTTTGGACCACACTTAGAAAATGACTGTTACAGACCTACACTCAGGACTTGTCCCCAGAGTCCTACAGCTACAGAAGCAGGAGGAGGCAAGTTCAAAAAAATTCACTTCTCCACAAGGGCAGGAACAGTTGGCCAACCCCTCCTTTCCCCAGAGCCCTACCTGAATCCTCCTAGGACTTCCAAAGGCCGGAGGCCACCTTTCAGTTGACAGGCAACCTGAGGCCTATCTCTCATTGAACCAGATACATAGGGAAAAAAAGAAAAACAAAATTGAAAAGACAGTCTGAAGAGCAAAATAAGTCCCACTTCCCTTCAAAGGGTATTCCAAAGCACTAGAAAAAAAAAGTTAACCTCCTTGCTCCTCCCCCAGAAACTCCACCTCCTACCATGTGACCAGGTTATTGATCATCATTTTTGTGGAGGAGTAAGGTTAAGCTTAGATGTGCAATTAACAAGGTTTATAGTCACATGCTTTGCCAGATGAACTACACTTTGCAAAAATATTTACCATCAAATAAAGGAATTGGCACATCCAATAAAAATAACATTACAGACATTTTATTTGGCCATCTTAGAGAAATATCCACAGAAGTGGATCAACACATAGTAACTTCCCAATTATTTTCTCTTTAAGACCTATGGTTTCTTAAAGTGCTTTTTTTTTCTTCTTTTTTTTTTTTTTTTTTTTTTGACAGAGTCTCACTCTGTCACCCAGGCTGGAATACAGTGGCATAATCTCAGCTCACTGCAACTTCTGCCTTCTCAGTTCAAGCGATTCTCCTGTCTCAGCCTCCCAAGTAGCTGGGATTACAGGTGCATGCCACCACGCCCAACTAATTTTTGTATTTTTAGTAAAGATGGGTTTTCACCATGTTGATCAGGGTGGTCTTGAACTTCTGACCTCAAGTGATCTGCCCGCCTCAGCCTCCCAAAGTGCTGGGATTACAGGCTTGAGTCACCGCAACCAGACACTTAAAGTGCTTTTAACCATGCAAATTGGAGAGGCTAGAGTTAATTTTATAATGTGTTAGATAGTTGCTGGGATAACTATTGATTTTTTTCACCTGAAATGGCATTCAATTAAGGAATATGTACAAATCATCACGGCTTCCAGCTTGAATGGTAATTTATAAAATTGTAGGGGCTAGAATACATAAAATATTTTTAGCTTGGAAGATTTGTTGCAGGCTGGAATGTTTGTGGGAAACGTCCTCTACATGAAGAATTTCAGCTCCAAAACGTCTTGATTAATTAACATAAACAGCTTTGAGGAAAAAGAGAACAGCATCTCACGTCTGGCAGGATCCTGGCAGGGTCCTTTGGAAATTCCAAGGCAAGCCAAACACAGGGAAGCCAGGCCTCTTCCATCCATGGCTGGTCCAATTCCAGGGAAACGCCTTGAGCCTGGGACAGCTCTGGAACGGCTCTGCTCTAGTTGGCAGCAAACCAAAGTCCATTTCTTCTTTTGCTCCCAGATCCCCTGAGATAATGAGTCGGCTTCAGAGCCCTGGAGAAATGAGCTACAGCTGAGGAGACCTGGAGGCCCCTGTCAAGTAATGGCCTCAGTCAGGGGTGGTGGCTCATGCCTATAATCCCAGTACTTTAGGAGGATTGCTTGAGGCTGGGAGTTTGGGACCATCCTGGGCAACATAGTTAGACCCTGTCTCTACAAAAAATAAATAAATAAATAAAAATTAAAGAATGGCCCCAATGCCCTTCTCTGCACTGAGTCTGTCCTTCCAGAATTTCAAAATGGAATGAATGGAATGAAGCATTATGAGAAAGAAATATAATATTCACTGAAAGTATCCTGCTGAGCTTTTAAAACATGTTATTTTATTTAGTTCTTGCATTAACGCTGCAAGACAGAGATCACTGACTTTTCTATAATACAGGAGGAGAAAAGGTGAGCAGGAAGGCTCAGTCATCTGCCCCACATCACATAACACATTAGTGACAGAACCGGGATAGGGACAAGAACCTGTTTTTTTCCAAAGTAATCATCTTCTCCACCAGATTTTTCCAATTAACTACGGAAAAAGGGAAAGTTCAAAACAGCTCAACACTATTTAATTTCTTTTAAGTCATTCAGATGCGGAGTGGGAAATAAGTCACTTGCAGGTTTTTCTCAATGTCAAGGAGTGATTCCCACCACCATGTTCTTGGGCAACATTGCAACACTGTGAAGGAGGTGAGGTTGGTTTACATCCTTTCTGTCTCCCAGCCTCCCTCTCCTGTGCCTCTGCTACTCCTCCACCAACCAGGGCCTACGTTAGTCCCTCATCAGAGCTTCACTCCTGGAGTTTTCCAGAATCTTGATGTGGTTTCCCATCCAATGTCATAAAGACCAGATAGTTGTACCAGTACATGGAGGAGAGGGTCGTTATAAAAGAAGAAACCCATCTCATACTAGTCTTAGACAAACACCCCTTGCTTAAAAATGAACCCTTCCTGTCTTACCAACAACCTCTTGTCAGTATTTCCAATGCTTCCCTATACCTGGCCTCAATTTGTGAAATGAGAGCAAAATGCTATCTGAGTAAAACAATTTGCACCACTTCAATGACAAATGGGATAAACTGTTCAGAGATATCTGTCTTTTAAACAAAGAGTTTTTAATGAATTTTGAATGCTGTGAAAATTTTCATGAGTGGGAAGGCTTTTCTGGTTGTATTTCTTTCTGATTCTATCATGTTACATTCTTATCTCTCAATTAATCAGGAAGTAATCACAGATTTGGTGTCCCCCATATGAAAGCTTGCCAAGGCCAGGTGGGGTGGCTCATGCCTTAATTCTAGCACTTTGGGAGGCTGAGGCAGGCAGAATGCCTGAGGTCAGGGGTTCAAGACCAGCCTGGGCAACATGGTAAAACCCTGTCTCTACTAAAATACAAAAAATTAGCCGAGCATGGTGTGGTGTGTGCCTGTAGTCCCAGCTACTTGGGAGGCTGAGACAGGAGAATTGCTTGAACCCAGGAGGCAGAGGTTGCAGTGAGCAGAGATCGTACCACTGCACTACAGCCTTGTCGACAGAGCAAGACTCTGTCTTTAAAAAAAAAAAAAAAAATTACCTAGTTGGACAAAAAAGAAAAAAAAGTGTGGCTGGGCACCGTAGCTCACTCCTGTAATCCCAGCACTTTGGGTGGCCAAGGTGGGTGGATCACCTGAGATCAGGAGTTTGAGATCAGCCTGGCCAATATGGTAAAGCCCCATCTCTACTAAAAATACACAAAATTAGCTGGGCGTGGTGGCAGGCACCTGTAATCCCAGATAATCGGGTGGCTGAGGCAGGAGAATCAC